ATATATATTTTGGATATTGTTTGAAAAGATCTCCCAAACAGCTGGCTGCCTTCTAGTTTTGTTGACTGTTTCTTTTGCTGTGCAGAAGCTTTTTAGTTTGATGTAGTTTTACTCATTAATATTTTTTTTACTTCTTGTCTTTGGTCGTTAACCTATGCCGCCATCTTGGTTTCTCCTTTCCTACATTGAATTATTTTTTATTGTTGTTGAGTTGCATGAGTTCTTTATATATTTTGGATATTGTTTGAAAAGATCTCCCAAACAGCTGGCTGCCTTCTAGTTTTGTTGACTGTTTCTTTTGCTGTGCAGAAGCTTTTTAGTTTGATGTAGTTTTACTCATTAATATTTTTTTTACTTCCCTTGTCTTTGGAGTCAAGTTCACAAAATAACCCTCTGAGACCAAGTTCCATAAATTTAGTGCCTATGTTTTCTTCTATGTATTTTATTCTCAGGGCCTTTAAATTATTTTGTTAAAAAATTTTAATATAGTGTCAAATAACAGCATAATTTCATTCTTTTGCATGTGGCTTTCCAGTTTTCCTATCACCATTTATTGAAGAGACTTCCCTTTTTTCCATGGTATGTTTTTGGCTCCTTTGTTGAAAAGTAGTTGCTTATATATAAATGGGTTTAGTTCTGGGCTCTCAAGTCTGTTCCATTGGTCTGTGGGTCTGTTTTTCTGCCAATACCAGAGTGTTTTGGTCATTTTAGCTTTGTAGTATAGTTGGAAGTTAGGGAGGTTGGATACCTCCAGCTTTGTTCTTTTTTCTCAGTATTGCTTTAGCTATTCGAGGTCTTTTGTGGCTCCAGAGAAATCTGAGGTTTTTTAAAAATATATTTTTATTGATTTCAGAAAGGGAAAAGGAGAGAAAGATAGAAACATCAATGATGAGAGAGAATCATTGATTGGCTGCCTCCTGCACAACCCCTACTGGGGATCAAGCCTGCAAGCCGGTCATGTACCCTTGACTGGAATTGAACCTGGGACCCTTCAGTCCACAGTCCGACGTTCTATCCAATGAGCCAAATCCGGCTAGGGAAATCTGAGTATTTTTTGTTCTATTTCTGCAAAAAATGTCATTGGGATTTTGATGGGAATTGCATTAAATCTGTATATTGGACTAGGTAATATGGCCACTTTAACAATGTTAATCCTTCTAACCAATGAACACGGATCATCTTTCCACTTCTTTGTGTCTTCTTCAATTTCTTTTAACAATGTATTGTACAGGTCCTTCCCCTTCTCTGTTAAATTTATTCCTAGGTATTTTATCCTTATGTTGCAGCTGTAAATGGGACTGTCTTCATTTCTCTTCCTCATATTCTGTGGCGAGTATTAGGAATACAACAGATTTTGTATATTGATTTTGAGCTTGCAACTTGAGCAGACTATTCTCTTCTCCCTCTCTCCTCCATCTGATACATCTATTATCCTTAGGTTGCTCTGTCCAGTGAAGTGAGATAGTTCTCCTTGAGATTTTTCCTTTTCTTAAACCAGCCGTGGGGAAACTACGGCCTGCGGGCCGGATCCGGCCCATTTGAAATGAATAAAACTATTGAAAAAAAAGACCATACCCTTTTATGTAATGTTTACTTTGAATTTATATTAGTTCACACAAACACTCCATCCATGCTTTTGTTCCGGCCCTCCGGTCCAGTTTAAGAACCCATTGTGGCCCTCAAGTCAAAAAGTTTGCCCACCCCTGTCTTAAACTCTTAGTCCTCTCTTCTTTCTCCTGGATCACTTTTAGGTTTTATCTTTGAGTTTGCTAATTCTCTCTTCCATCTGGACTGCTCTATTTCCAATGCTCTCTAATATATTATTCATTTCATTTATTCAGCTCCAGAATTTGTGTGGTTCTTTTTTATAATTTCAACCTCTTTGGTCAAGTACTCCTTTTGTTCATTAACTTTATTCCTGAGTTCAATAAACTACCATTCTGAGTTTTCTTGTATATCCTTGAGTTTCTTCATAACTATAATCTTTTTTGTTGTTGTTAATCCTCACCCAAGGAAATTTTTTCATTGATTTTTAGAGAGAGTAGAAGGGAGGGGGAGAGACAGAGAGAGAGAAACATCAATGTGAGAGAGATACATCGATTGGTTGCCTCCTGCACATGCCCTGATCAGGGCCAGGGATTGAGCCTGCTGCAACCAAGGTATGTGCCTTTGACTGTAATTAAACTTGGTTTACCCTTCAGTCCACAGGCCGATGCTCTATTCATGGATCCAAACCAGCTAGACCAGGGGTGGGCAAACTTTTTGACTCGAGGGCCACAATGGGTTCTTAAACTGGACTGGAGGGCCGGAACAAAAGCATGGATAGAGTGTTTGTGTGAACTAATATAAATTCAAAGTAAACATCATTACATAAAAGGGTACGGTCTTTTTTTTCAATAGTTTTATTCATTTCAAACGGGCCGGATCCACCCCACGGGCCGTAGTTTGCCCACGGCTGAGCTAGACCCATAACTGCAATCTTGAATTCTCTGTTATTTACATCATTGTCTTCCATGACTTTGATATTTCACTTTTCATTTTCTTTCTATGCTTCTGTGTACAGTGGTTGTTCATGGTGCTTGATGGACTATTTCCTGCCCATCAAGCAGTATGCAAGGGTTCATACTGCTTCATGAAGGGGAGTGGACTGGAGACACTTCTTTGTGGACTGTTTCTTTGGGGTAATGCTCTCTTGTTAGATACTGTTTTGCTCTCAACAATTCAGCCAGTTGATAAGTAGGGTGCTTTCTTTTGTTTCCCAGTAGGTGGTGCTACATTGCAAGTTTGTTTTCTCTTGCACTGTTTGCACCTCTGGGATCATGGGTGTCCTCTCTGTGACCAGCTCATCTTGGCTATGAAGCACCTCCACTGTGACAGGGGAATGGTTTTGTGAACTCTCAGAGCTACCTCCTTTTTCTGCTGTGTTTTTGGCATTGCTGGGCTTTTCCAGGGTGTGTTGGGGAGAGGAGGCAAGTCTGTGATCTAGCAGTTCTGCTCCACCAGTCCAGTTAGGGCTGTTGGCCCCCCACTTCCCAGACACCTCTACCTGGTTCTGCTATGATGGGCAACAAGGAAAGGAGATGCCTTTTCAGGGAGGTAAACTGCTTCTGTCCTTCTTAAACTGCAGCTCAGCTCCTCCTCCCGCTACCACACTAGCCTAAGCAGCGGTGGGTGTCGAACTTTGTCTGAGGCTACAGTCCCTGTCCTTCCTCCTGTCATGCCTCCAGTATACCCACCTGGAGATGTCCCAATATGTGGCTCTTTCAGGTGTGTCTGTGTGCTGAACAGGGGAATCTTTGTGCAGTTAGAGTTGTCTGACTTGTAAATTGAAGGGGAGAAACAATGGAGTCTTCTTATTCTGCCATCATACTGACATCACTCTCATATTAGTGCTATTTTAGTGGTTAACCAACTACTTCATCAATCTAATCTACATACTTCTACCAGATGATTTTTCCTTAAAATATGATTTCATTAGGTTACAGTTTCACTCATAAAACCTTACGGGCCTCCCACTGCTCAAGAGTTAAGCCCACAGTCCAGAGTTCATCATAGATTTTTAAGTAATGGCCTTCTAAAAATCACACCTCCCAGAATTTCCAGCCTGTGTAGTCTTCTACACACTGACGGGTGAGTTGCTTTGGCCAATGGGGGGACCAGCTAGTGTAACTCTCACAGGGGCCTGCACTCTTGCAGGAGGGAGTGAGCCCACAGCCTAGTCCAGGTGACTGTAGCTGCAGGAGTCAGACTGAGGGGCCCAGAGAACTGCACTGCCTTTATCGGACCATGAGAAATAATAAACTATTGTTGTCTTACCCATGCCAGTGTGGACCCGAGGTCTGGCTTGGGTACTGTCTTTTCTGCCTGAAGTGCTCTATGCAGCCATCTGCCTACTAAAACCTAATATCTATCTGCTAGATCAGCTCCTACAAGGCCTCCTGCCTGCTCATCCTGTGCTTGTCGTTAGCTGTGCATGTTATCTTGAGTTATAACTGAACTGCTGACTGCACATCTGGCCTCTTTAATATAGTAAAAATTTTTACCAAGGACTTTACAAATTTATCTAAATATCTCAAAGCCTAGATGGCCTGCATCGATTCTGGAAACACCTTCGGAAGTGTGGAACTGTCCCCAGAAGGTGTTAAAGTGATGAGCCCTTTGGGGAGAAGCCTTTTTAGCAGGAGGCTAAGTGGCAGGTTATTCACTGAGTCACCTTGTAAAACTACCGGAGGCAGCAAATGCTAGAAGGAAAATCACTGCAGGCCCTGGTGATTCCCTTCCCAGGGGCATCTCCAGCAATGGCTCTGCAGCCTGTGTCTAAGCAGTCACCAAGGGAGAGTCAGCTGTGCAAGGTCCTGCTCTTTGAAGGAGGGAGGGGGCACCTGCAGAAGTCCCTGGAGTCACTGATACTGCTGAAGGGTGAGGGAACAAGTCCTAGGCCTGTTGCACTTCCTGACGCTGGAAACATCCGGCAAATGGCACAGAGATGCAGAAGTAAATAAGCAGCCTACTTCTCCAGCAACTACCACAATGGGGCACCCATCATCAAGAGTCTAGTCAGCATCCCCCCTTACCTGGGGTATGCTCATGTGGAAAGTGTGTGAGGCCACAGGTTTATTTTCAAAATACCAGCAGGAAGCACCCAGAGGTGGGGCATGGTGAAGGAGAAAAATAAGGGCTATATCTGAAGTCTTTTTCAAACCTAACCATTAGAAACTGAGTGCTCTACTTATGCTCCTGGGGCATCTTAATGAACCATGCTAGAGGGTAAAACCGGGGTCTGAGTATTTTGGGAGTGATGATTGCTACCAAGGGAAAACTGTTCTGACCAGGTTAGAATTTGGTGTTTGTTAGCAGCTCCAGTTTTTAAGGTGATCACTGACAACACTCACCTTTTAGCAGGAAAACACATGTGGAGATGCATGCTAGTTTCCTCCAATGAAATCTCTTCAAACTAGCAGACAAACTGGTTCTCAGAGAGAGTGCTCACATTCATTTTGAAGAGAGCACTCATTATAAATTGAGAATCTAAGTTCAATCTTTAATTTAGATGTTTTTCCATTTAGGCTAAACGTTTAACTTCTCACATAATCATCAAAAGGGATATACTCAAAGGCAAGAAATTCTTCTATATAAGTAAAAGGAGAATAATTCCTTTGCTGCAGGATACTAACATCAATATTTTAAGTATACATTTTAAATCTTATTAGTTCATAAATAATTTGGTTGAAAAAGTAGAAAACATGTTTTTGGCATTGACAAAGACTGAACCATGTCAAAAAGTATGATTTAATAATTAAAATACATAGCAGCTCTGGCCAATGTGACTAAGTGGTTAGAGCATGGCCAGAGCACTGACAGTTGTGGGTTTGATTCCTGGTCAAAGGCGAATACCTGGGTTGCAGGTTGGATCCCCGGCCCCAGTTGGGGCTCGTGCAGGAGGCAACCAATCTATGCGTCTCTCTCACATTGAAGTTTCTCTCTTTCTCTCCACCCCACTCCTTCCCTTCCACTCTTTCTCTCTGTTTAAAAAAAAAAAGGGAAAAAAAAATCAATGGAAAAAATGTCTTTGGTGAGGATTAACAAAAAAAAAAAGAGAATACTTGTACATAACTCATAGTAGCTTATTATTTAATGTACTCATTTCAAATATACTAATACCCTATTATTGCCAAGTTTTATAGATTAAATTATTTGTAAATAATTTCTACCAATTTAAAGATATTTTAAAAATTTAATATCAAGCACCTAAAAATAATTAAGTAAAATATTTACTGAATGGCTTTTTAAAATATATATATTTTTTATTTATTTCAGAGAGGAAGGGAGAGGGAGAGAGAGAAACATCAATGATGAGAGAGAGTCATTGATTGGCTGCCACCTGCATGCCCCACACTGGGGATTGAGCCCACAACCTGGGCATGTTCCCTGACTGGGAATCAAACTGTGACCTCCTGGTTCATAGGTCTATGCTCAACCACTGAGCCACACTGGCCGGGCCTGAATGGCTTTTATATGTGCTCTATATTTATAAATTTAGAAAACAAACAGACTTACCATTAACAGCTTTTTCATAATTTTTTCCTAGGTTTATTAAATTCCGTAGCCGCGGATTGAACTGTTCCATAACATTCTAGAAAACAAACAGAACAAACAAATTAATAAAGTAAATGACCAGCACCAGTCATCTTTAGATGCTGTTACTACACAGAGCCTGGGACACCTATGTGTACTGGTCGGGAATGCTGACTTGCAGACAGTGAAGGGCACTGATGACTGGGGTGCTCACCCTGGTAAGGTGTCTGTAACCAGGCCAGTTCTCCAGTTGTCCACGGGCTGCCTCGGACCTACTTGTAAATGGAACAAGTAGTGGACAGGCTGCCTCTAAAGCGAACCCTGCAGAGACTGTGAGCCCAGAAGCTGATGCCGCCTGGTTTTAAGTAGGTCAATGGTTGTCATTCTCATGATGGGAATTTAATTATATGGACAATGTGTTGGCTATCAATTGGACAGAAATGTCCAAGAGGCTGTGTTTTTACTCTGCCCAATTACAGGGGAGGGTATGGGGTGAGCGTTGCTGATAGCTCTAGGACACTTTCTTCCTAGGTGGTCACTGGCCCCCACCCCCAGTAATCAGGGCATTTATTAAATACTTCTGGAGTAACTCCTGTGCACTAGGTCTGGTGCACAGCTGTGGACGGGAGACATGGTTCCCTCTCATGGATTTCATGATGCTGTATCTCTGCAGATGCCACACTTTTCAAAACTTGGAGACAAATGCTATGTCAGGTATAAGGCAATTATTTAGATGTTAGTCTAAATGCAAAATACCCTAAATCTGAAGCTCAGATAAGAAATCATATGTAAGGGGCTCCAACTAGACTCAGAACATACAGTGGCTGAATACATTTGTTCAACCTATAAACACTGAGCTTCACCATATGAATCCCTCCAGACACACGACTCAAGTCTCTTCAGCTCCTCTCCCGAAATGTTAACACTTGGAGAGGACCAGGCAATACAACAAATGAAAAACTAAGCAACGGCCAAAAGGGCAGATACTTGACACATGCTATTTCAGATATAAAGGTTCTCCATTATGGGTTAGAGGAGAAAGAACACAACTTTTATTTTTTTAATTTTTTTTAATGTTTATTGATTTTTGAGAGAAAGGAAGGGAGAGGGTGAGATAGAAACATTAATGAGAGACATTGATCGCTGCCTCTTGCACACCTCCCTCTGGGGACTGAGCCACAACGTGGGCATGTGTCGTGACCGGGAATTGAACCGGGGACTTTTTGGGTCATGAGGTGATGTTCAACCACCGAGCCACACCGGCTGGACCATAACTTTTATTTTTAAATATTTAAAAATTTTATTTATTGATTTGAGAGAGAGATCGATTTGTTACTCCACTTATTTACGCTTTTATTGGTTGCTTCTTGTATGTGCCCTGACTGGAGATCAAACCCACAACCTTGGCGTACTGGAACACTCTAACCAACTGAGCTACCTGGCCAGGGTGAGGAGAACACAACTTTTATTTTATCAAACAGTGATAAAGGCTGATGAAAACCACACCTGCCTCACCTATCCCAACCCCTGACTCATCTATCCCCGCTCCTGCCTGGCCTTACTTACTCCCAAGAGCTGTTATTCTTGTATTTACTGTCATAGTTTTGAGTAATAGTCTTGATTTCTCAATTTTGGGCCATAACTATAGGCTCTCTGCTAGAGTTGATGAAGACATGGCTCTCCTTTCCCCAACCCTTCCTACATAGTTCAATGGCAACTTCCTGTTAAGTCAATAGTCAGGGTTTTTTGTTACTTTGTAAATATTGGTCACTACAAATCAAAAAATGTACCAAGGATTACAGTTCCTTTCCTGGTATGCACTTTTTGTTTCTTGTGGGATTAACAATTGTCTCCCCCCCTCCCCCATGCTTAATTTTCTATGTAGCTACCTTAAATTTTTCCACATGCTCTGTAGAATCTAGCAGAAGCCTATCAATCGTATTTTTCAAATGCGCAAAGTTGTCAGCTAATCTTCCATTCACCCACTCCCCCACCCCCACCCCAGAACTTCCTCCAAGGACTCTCCGTCCTCTTGCCCAGGCTGGCCTGAGTGGCCCTGCTGCGCTGTTGCCCTTGCATGTCCCTTCCTGGTCCTTCGTGTTAGACCTCTCAGGACCTGGATAACACATCTTCCTCTCTCTTCATTTATTCCTTCTTACTGAAGATCATTCTCCAAGAATGACCTAAGAACGGATGTGTGAAAGGTAAATTTGAGTACCTATGTGTCTGAAACTATCTTTATCTTGACATTTGATTGATATTTTGCTAGAGTATTACAGATCAAAAGTGACTTTCCCTTAGAACTTGTAAGATAATGTTCCACTATCTTTAATATCCAGTTTTGCTATAGAGAAGTTGGCTATCATTTCTTCTTCCTTTCTATATAACATTTTTGGGGGGAGGAGGAGCGCTTATTTCTGGAAGCCTTTGCTTCATCTCTCCCTCCTTGTGTCCTGAAATTACATAATGGTTTTTCTCAGTATTTTTTTCATTTATTTAACTGAGCACTCAAAAGGCCCTATCTAATCTACATAGGAAATTATGTCCTTCAGGTCTGAAAAACACCCTGGAGTTATACTCTAAGAATTTTTCCTTTTTTATCTGATTTTCCACTTTTTGTTCTGACAGACACCCTCAACCTTACATTCCTTTAAACTCTCCTACTAGATTTTAAATGTTTTTGATATATTTTTAATTTGGGCTCTGTAAAGTTTTTTTATTATTCCTCTTTATGTATTTATTTTTTATAATTCCTATTTTTTTTATTATCCTTTTTAAAAGCATCCTGTTCTTGTTTTATGGAGGCAATATTGTCTCTTATTTCAATAAACTGTAGTTTGGGGGCATTTCCTTTCAGTTCCCCATGTTATTTCCTGTTTATTTCTTCTCATTGCTTGGCATCCATCTGTCTTTGGCGTTGGAGGGTTTCCTCAACTGTCTGGTGACCCCTGATCAGTTCTTCAGGAGTAAATCCTAATGTGCCGGCTAGAAGCTTGTGAGTGTGGGGATGCACACAGGGTGGCTGTGGACCAGCAGGCTTCCTGTGGGGTGACTGACAGGTCGGCTGTAGACAAACTGGCCACGCAGCAGTAGCCAGAGGCCACAGGTCATTCCAGAGATGTTTCTAATTCCCTGTCCTTGGGTGGGGGAAGGGCCATCACTAGGAGGTCTGCTTTCCCAGTCAGGAAGGGGGTTGGGAATCCCACAGTTTACTGAGCTGATTTTTACTGAATTCCTCTGATTTAGCTCTGAGTTTTACTCCCCGACCTCGGTGGGTATTTCCAAGTCACTATATGTTGAGATTAAATCTCCAGTCTGGCAGGCAGAGGACACTACTGGTTGGAGTGGTGGTTGGGGTAGGGAAGGGAACCTGGTAGTTTAACCATCTTGTAGAATGCCTGTTACTTTCCATGTGTCCCCTCCCTTCTGTGGGGTCTGCTCCTCAGCCTTGGGGTGATCCAGTGAATGGCTCAGCTCTCATCAACACTCCCCCTGCAGGTTGTTGAGGTTCTCTTAAGGCAGTTACTGCTCCTCTGCCCATTTCTATCACCCCAAATTTCTTTAGGCTTTTTGTCAACTGATATTTCCTTTTTCAGGTCTCTACACTATGGATTTTTAAAAAAATAATATATTTTTATTGATTTCAGAGAGGAAGGGAGAGAGAGAAAGAGAGATGGAAACATCAATGATCGGCTGCCTCCTGCATGCCCCTTATTGGGGATCGAGCCCGCAACCTGGGCATGTGCCCTGACCAGGAATTGAACCGTGACCCCCTGCTTCATAGGTCGGTGCTCAACCAGCTGGGTTACACTATGGATTTACAGTTTTTTAAAAAGTTCTTTTGCCCTCATTTTAACATATCTTCATTAAAAAAAAAAAAAGTAGACAAACATAGGCAGTCTATCCATCATGCTTCACTGGAAGTCCACTTGTCCTGTTTTATTTAAGCCAGCTGGCTGTTTAAGCCTCTTTCACGACCAGCAGCCACGAGGGCCCAGCCAGCGCTGACTCCCTCACCAGTCTGTCTGCAAGACAGTAAAACTACCTGAGCACGGGACCTGTAGCCACAACCGCTACTTCCGTCTCTTTCCTCAATTCCCTTGGTTTGTTTTTAAGCTTTTTATTTTGAAAAAGCTTAAGATTCACAAGAAGTTGTAAAAATTGTACAGGGAATTCTTATGTATGCTTCCTCCCAAGACAACTTATATAACCATAGCGCCTTATCTAGCACATTATCAAAACCAGGAAACTGACATGTTGGAGGGTTTTTATTATTCCTCTTTATGTATTTATTTAAAAGAAAAGTTTAAGACTTGAGAGTACAATCAACTTCATGATAAACTGAACTGTAGACATTATGTGGCTTGACCAGTTTTTATATCACTCATTTTTTTTGAAGAGGTGAACTGATTCTATGAAATTGTATCACATATACAGATTTGTATAAATCATCCCCTCAATGATAATACAGCCTGTTCTATCAACACAAAGATCTCGCTCATGCTCCCCACTTCAGAGCCGCTCCCTTCCCCAGTCCTAACCCCTGGCAACCACTGATCTCAATCACTACAGTTTTGTCATTGTGAAAATGTTATATAAATGGAACCATGTGACCTTTTGAGACAGGCTTTCTCACTCGGCACAAAGCCCTTAAGTACCCTCCAAGTTTACTGCCTTTTTTGGGGGGGGGCCAGTAGTATTCCACAGTATGGATGTATCACAGTTTGCTCATCCTTATACCCACTGATCATATGGGTTGGTTTCCAGTTTGGGGCAATTTCAAATAAACCTAATACAGAACATGACATATAGGGTTTTGTGTGAATGTGAATGTCCCTATCTCTTAAGATAAACACTTGGGAGTTCAACTGCTATGTCTTATGGTAGGTGTATGTTTAACTTTGTAAGAAATTGCTAAACTATTTTCAAGAGTGGCCATACCACATTACACTACCATCAGCAATGCATGAAATTTCAATAATTTAAAAATCAAATAACTTTATTAGAAGATGGTTACTTTCTAATGAAAAGATAAAACGATTTTTCAAAGATCTCACT